TACAACAGCTCCTCTTCCAGAACCAAAAGTACGGATTGTTGAATATAGTCCCCCTTCGGCTCCTCGGAGACCTCCAGGTTATTACAAATTCATTGAGAAGTCAGCAGAAGAACTTGATAATGAAGTTGAGTATGACATGGATGAAGAAGATTATGCGTGGTTAGAAATAATAAATGAGAAGCGGAAAAGCGATGGAGTGTCAGTTGTATCACAAAACATGTTTGAATTCCTGATGGATAGGTTTGAAAAAGAGTCTTACTGTGAGAACCAAAAACAGGGTGATCATCAGTCGTTAATTGATGAAGATGCAGTGTGTTGTATATGCATGGATGGTGAATGTCAGAACAGCAATGTAATCCTGTTTTGTGATATGTGTAATTTAGCAGTACATCAGGAATGCTATGGGGTGCCATATATACCTGAGGGCCAGTGGCTCTGCAGACACTGTCTGCAGTCCCGTTCTCGGCCTGTAGACTGTGTGCTGTGCCCAAACAAGGGAGGTGCCTTTAAAAAGACAGATGATGATCGTTGGGGACACGTTGTGTGTGCTTTGTGGATTCCAGAAGTTGGATTTGCCAATACAGTTTTTATCGAGCCAATTGATGGCGTCAGGAACATTCCCCCAGCCAGATGGAAGTTAACATGCTACCTCTGTAAGCAGAAAGGTGTTGGTGCCTGCATCCAGTGCCACAAAGCAAACTGCTATACTGCATTCCATGTGACGTGTGCTCAAAAGGCCGGTCTGTATATGAAAATGGAACCTGTGAAAGAACTAACTGGCAGTGGGACAACATTCTCTGTAAAAAAGACTGCCTATTGCGATGTACATACTCCACCAGGTTGCACACGGAGACCTCTAAATATTTATGGAGAAGCTGAAATTAAAAACGGTGTTTGTAGAAAGGAGGGATCAGTCAGAACTGCTAGGTCTACATCAAAAGTCAGAAAAAAGACAAAAAAGGCCAAGAAAACAGTGGTTGAACCCTGTACAGTTATGCCAACAGTATCTGCTCCTTATATACCCCCCCAGAGGTAAGCTAACCATCCAAGTGAGAGAAACCTTTACTTAATTATCTGTTTAATATTAAACCAATGCTTTTAGTTGCAGACTTGAAGTTTTTGTGCATTTCTTATATGCTTTCTTTAAAGGCCATACTCAGAGGATTAATCTAAATTACGTACATTGTACTTTCGTGAAACTGCATTAAAAACGCAGTAACTTTCCCAAGAGAAATTAGTAAATGGTCAAGTATCTGTCTTGTCCTCAGAAATCTTTTTTTTTCCCCTTGTCAGACCAAATCATGTTCTGTGCTCAGTTGTTGTCATTTGCTCTACTCTTGAGAATTAACCACTGAATTTGGAACAGCATATGTAGTTGAGCTTCATGTTAAGAAAACCAGCCAAGCTCAAGGTTAACAGTATTCATAATTTGAGAATCTGAAATTCTTTTCCTAATTTTAAGAGCCACAAACTGAAAATTACATTTGCATATATAAGACTTGAGTCTTGTTCATCTCACCTAAATTAAGAATAAACTTGTCTTGTAATATCTACGTAAGTAGTACAAAGAAACTCTCCAGCAAGTATTTTCATTATGGGGCAGAGTAACTTTCCAGGAAGTTTTTCCTAAATTTGCGTGTTTCCTTTTGCAAATGCAGTGGTATTTATCAAAGCTTGGATGAATTTGGTACCTTGCAGACTTCCCCCCCCTCCCCCCCAAAAAAAAGTTAGCAAGTAAGTGATGATAAGTTAGCTGGTTAATGTATTCTTAGTCATGGAACCTGAAATGAATGTGCCCTCCTGTTCAGTGATGCTGTCAAAATACCTGTCCTACAGCTGTAGTAAAATTTTTATGTTTGAACAAAAGTGAATTAATGCATGTGACAAGGAGTTTTAATCCTAACCTTTGCTTTCATATTTATACTTTGTAAGAAGTGCTGTTTAACCTGATCTTTATATTAGTCTTTTGCAATTCTTGCAACAGCTTTTGTTATGTGAGTGCAAATAGAAAGCATGAACACCACAACTGAAATTGCTCTTTGCATTTAACATGCCATATTTATGTATTTTAACAGTGGCCATCGGGGGGCTGGCAGATGGCTCTAGATCTGGTTGAGGCTAGTGAAGTGATGCATCAGAAAGCAGGGACGTTTCAAGTGATGTTTTCATAAGTAATAACAGAATTGGAGCAAAATGAAGATTTTAAATATCTTCATTTCAGGAGTTAAACTCAGCATGAACTTCAGATAATGTAGTTATATCAATTTAAAAGAACAATAGCATCTCTTCAGATTTCTTTGTTAAACTGAGTTATGCATTTCAACAGTGGAAGTAATTTGATTCTGGGATTTGAGTAGCAGCAGAAAACTCTGGGATAGGAAGATACGGTTTTGGCTTTGGTGAACATTTGAGACCTAATACAGTGGGCTGAGAAATGCAAAATTGGACTGATGGGACTAAACCCAAGTTTGTCTCTATGGAGTACTTGTTTCGTTTCTAGTATTCGCAACATCAATGTATTTGTTTATCCCCTTGAATTAAATTCTTACTGATTTAAGAAAGGCAGTTTAGTTTCTCAAAACAGGCACCACTTCCGTGTGCAGGTTCATTGGACTGTGATAGGACGTGAATGCTCAGACAGTGAGGACTCTTAAAGTAATACAAGTAAACCATGCTTTTTTGAAAGCTGACTCCCAGGTCTCAGGTAGTGGACAATTAAGACTGGTTAAATTAATCTAAATAAATACATGTTTTGAGACTGCAGTCCTTTCCCATAATAAGTTTTGCTAGTGCAAGTAGACACTTATTAAGTGACTTTGACAAACAGCCTTTAGCTCCTGTGTGTTGTTTACAAACATCATATTGATGCATTGTTCTCTGTTATGATTTGCTTGGTAAAGTGGTATTTTCGTTCAGTGATGCACTGCAGAAAAGCTTAAGTTCACAGTAGGCAAATAATACTGTCGTTTAAGCAGGTACTGTTGTCCGTGGGAGGGGAGAGTTTGTATAAAAGAATTTGGCTTTGTCTTAATTAGGACAATCCTGATTGGTGGTGTAATGTGTTGTTTTTTTAATACAAAGTAAGAACATGAAAAGAACGAGGTCCAGGAGTGGGCTGGTGTGAACCACATGAGGTTCAAGAAGGCCATGTGCAGGGTCCTGCACCTGGGTCCAGGCAACCCCCAGTATCAATAGAGGCTGGGAGATGAAGGGATTGAGAGCAGCCCTGCCGAGGAGGAGTTGGTGGTCCTGGTGGGTGAAAAGCTGGACATGAGCCGGCAATGTGTGCTGGTAGCCCAGAAGGCCAACCATCTCCCGGGCTACATCAAAAGAAGTGTGACCAGCAGTGTTCCAACCCAAACTATTCTACAATTCTTTGATTCGGTGACCTAAGCAAAAGTTGAGGATTAGAATGCAGGTTCTCAGTTGTACCTCTGGCAATTCTTTTCCATGCTAATTTTCATACAAGACAGACCCTAAAAGGATGTTACAATCAGATTTAAAACAAAAACAAGACAAAAAAACCAATGTCATTAGATGCCAGGAACAGAAATATAAAGACCTTTTTTTTTTCTTTTTTTTCTTTTTTCTTTTTTTTTTTTTTAAATAACAACTACATTTCTTTTCAACACTGCAGAGAGATTCAGCTTTCTTCTATTTATGATAGGTTTCATGTTTCTGGGCACAAGTATAGTTCCTGTATTTTATGTCAGAAGTGTAAAAAATTTAAACAGTTTAAAACACAGTTCAAAACAATTCCGAAGTTGAGCTTTATTACAGATAGTTTGCCTTCAGCTGAAGGAGACTTTTGCTTAAGTACTCTTAGTAAAGTGAATGTGCTTAGTCCTAGAAAAGTAATACCTAAATTAAAAGCAAAACAGAAATGGGCATATTAAAAGGAAGAGTGATTATGCTGCAGACCCAAATCTCAGTTGTCTAATTTTCTTTGGCAGTTATTCTTTTTTTTTTTTTTTTTCTTTAGAAAAGCTCTTGTGGAGGGGGGGAGTTAAATACATACCCATAAACTAATAATGAATGATGTGGATCATTCTACGGCAGTCTTCATTTAAATGATTCCTTTTCTCTAATCTGTTTGTTTACTGTGCTTTTTTTCCCTTAGAGCTGAAACATGATTTGCCTTTCTAAGAGATCTCAAGGAAGAGCAATTAAGCTTAATTCGATAATTTAAATTATCAAAGAAGAAACATATATGCTCAGTGTTTAAACACTAGTGCTTTTTTCCTAAAGAATTTGAAATGAGCATGTTTCCAACATCTCTGGCAATTGATGCACATGCAGAGGAGTTTGGTTTGGTGTACTTTCTTAATCATTAGATTTCTTATCATGTCTTAATCACTAGACTGCTTGTCTCCTTGGCATATAGCTGGTTCCTTAGAGTTGGTAACTATAGAAATATGAAGATTATAGTGAGGAGGAAAATACTTGGCGGATGTAGCCCCTGAACGTACCTGCTGAAGCTTGAGGAAAACCCTGTTGCCATTTATGTTTAGTTTAAGGTGGAAGGACTGTATGCTGTTTCCTTACCTGGATAGTGAGTGAATGTAAAGTACATGAAAGACTGGGCATTTTAGTAATGCATTTTAATAATGCAATTTGTAATAATACTGTTTTTTGAAACACCTACCTTAATGTTCAAGGTATGTTAAAAAGACTGGTATAGAACAACACACTTCATAATTTCTACACAACTTTCTGTAGCTCACGAGTTTCTGTATCAGCTTATCTGTAGGTCAGATTTCTACCCTATTGCCTTGAATGATTTGAGCTGTACACTTTTCAGTTATCAGAATTTCTTGCACGGATGTCATACTCTAAGCTTTTTGCTGTTAAATTACATAGATAGTGTCATTCTGTAGGTCATTTGCAATCTAGTAATACGGCCTCTCGGACTATCGCCTCAAACTACAAATTTAAGAGTGTAGGATCAGAAGTTTTTAACCATTGATGATAGAAGAATGTTTATTTCCCTGTTGCCCTGTGTCATTTGGTTTTGGTTTTTGGTTGGTGGTTTTCTTTTTTTTTTTTTTTCTTACGCTGGGCATCTATCTGTCTTGTTGCCTAGGTATTTTAGAAAGTCTACACCTAAGTATCGACTTTCAGAGGTGCAGTAGGTCATGTAAGAGCCTTAAGGTGACTTCAGTTTTCAGTGCTGTCAGTGCTGACTTCTTAGTAATGTGCTTAGCACTTGGCATAATATGTGGGACCACCAGAGAACCTCTTACGCATATATGATTTGCATCAGGCCTTCTGCCTACAGAAGTGTGTTGTCTCTACTAGGAAATTCCATTCAGTTTTCCTTGAAATACAAGACTGTTGAAGACTGTTGCTTACATTGTACTGCTTGCATTCATCTTTTTTTTTTTTTTTTTTTTTTTTTGCGAAGGCAGACATGGGCTTAGTCTGAAAGTCACATGTTTGTGGGAAGTGTCAGAGCAGCTCTGGGGGGCTTTATGAGGGGTGAGTGGGGAAAGACACTCCAAATGGTACCTCTGTATGGGAGGGACAGGCAGTACCTGCACCTGCTGGCAAATGGTCATCAGAAAAGGGGCCTCCTGCTGCCACCAGCTATTTTGTCTGAAGACAGTGGCAAATTTGTTCTTGCAGTGTTTATACCCCACTCATGACGTGTCATGGTTGAATTTTGCCTAGTAGATAAGTGATTTTTTTTTCCCTAATAAAATACTGAAAGTATTTTTTCCTTAAAAAAACACACCTAAAATACTAATATACTCATATCTACTAATTTCCTAATAAAATGCTAAAAGGATTTTTTTTTTTTTTCAGATTGTAGGTCCAGAACTCTCAAGTTAGGAAATCCTAACTTTTAGGGCTGACTTGACAGTCTAAACCTGGCTTCTTGTCTGTGTTAGTTATCTTGTACCTTCTTTGTGCTTGTTGCTGCTCCTCCTTGTACTTTGTAACAGCTACCTTATCCAGTGCCTAGGATGGATACACAAGGGAGAAGAGTTGCAGTATTAGCTGTGAAAACTATGTGGTTTCTCTTAACTTTT